TAAGCGACAAAGGAACGGGTCCATGAACTGCCGCATTAAAGATTGAAAGCAGGGGATGGGGGGGAGGCCACGGGGGCTAATTTTACTCGGTCATTTCAAGCTGACTGCATTTTTAACCAGCAATTACCGCAAGCGTTAAATTATCGCAACGGCAGGCCATGTTAATTATGTCGATTTTTGCGTCTGCCGATCTCACCCCAGGCCGCAATGCCGGCAATATTTTTGACTAGGACGGTTTTTTTTTCTTCCCCGTACGCCACACTGCAGCGCTGTCTGCTAATTGAAGTTGCCAGGGGCTGTCAATTTGAAAGGAAAATTGTTTTTAGCATTTAAAAAAATATATATGCAAAACAGAGCCCCCCGCTACCGACAACTGCAACCGCTTGTGCTGCTTGCCAGCTTTGCATGCAGAGGCAAGTGGTCTCTTTGAATATTAATTTTGCAAATGGGTCTTCTCTGTCAAGTCGTGTAATAAACGCCTCCAGGCACACACACTGCTATCGAGAAGCCAGTAAATAAATAAATAACCGCACGTTAAAACCAAAGGCTGGGGGGTGGGGGGGTTGGGCGCAGAAGTCACAATGAAATAATTAAAAGACATGCCCAGAAGAAACAAAATTAACAAAACAACTGCAGAAACGGCTTTCCCCCCTAATCATCTCCGCAGGTTGCGTGATGTTCAACCATGTTTACTCGGCTTTCACTTAATGGGGGGCATGGTAGGGGGGTGGTGTCTGTGGAGTGTCGGGAAAATGGTCGAGGAGGGGGGGGGGGCAAGACAAGGGCTCCGGAGGTATCACCACACCTCACGCCAGCCCACCCAAAGCAAGCGAGGAGAGGGGGGATGCTTGGGCGGCAGTTGGGGGTACGAATGAACAAGAGTGGGACACATGCCAGGGGGGGGGGGGTGAGTGTTGGGCTAGGTCTGAATTGATGGGCTTTGTAGACTTAATCCTCTCGCCTCCGCCCCCTACCCAGACAGGAGGGATTAACTCGAACCAGCATCCCTGCCTCCCTCCCCTCAATCCCCCTGCATCCACCGATGCCAACGCCCCCACTGCCAAAAACCCTAGGCCCAGACACCATGATGCTCCACACCCGAGGCCGCCCCCTTATCCGCAGCACACCCCAACCCCGCCAATGAGTTCGTGCAGGGAGAAGCACAGAGGGAGCAAGGGGGAGCAGTGGAGGAAGGGGTGAACCAGGGGTCGCCGAGGCTGCAGCGTGAATTCCCTTGGGGGTGCGGATTGCTGGGCGTGAGCACGGGTAGTGATGCGGGCTACGTGAGAGGGGGATGGTGCAAGTTGAGGGGGGGAAAAACAGTTCATTAGACGTGAGGCGTGGTACACCGCTATCTGCACAGTTACCACTGCGGTAGGAGTCATTCGTGTCGCCTTCAAATGATTACGGCATCCTCCAAAAATCTCTTCACTACCACACGCGGCTGCTCTCTAGGCATGCCGTAAAAGGTGGAGGAGGGCTTATGTCTTAAGTTCTATCTATGGAACTGCAAGACTGACCCCTCACTTTAGTCGAATGGGGAAAAAAAAATCGTGGTGCATACTGAAGGGTCGACAGGAATCTGGAGAAAAGTAACAAAGTGGTAATAACACACGAGCATGCCATTAATACCATTCACTGTCTTCCCAAGCTGCTTGTTTTTTTTTAAGCCAAGTCTTGTTTGCTGAATGCCAATCTGTGCACAAATCGGTGGAAGCCAAATACTCTTTGTGAAGTATAATTCGCTGCAAAGTAAAAAATAATGATATCTCAGCAACACTGTACGTTTATAATTGGAAGTGGCAACGTAGTGGATGGCGCATTGCGCTACGAACCCAGCCATGCGACTTTCATTCCCAGCCATGGCTAATAATACAAGTGTAGAGTGAGATCTGAACCAATTCTGGGGCGCCAATTCACCGACCCGCACTGACCACTGGGGTGAAGTACGGTCAAACGACACTCAAAACCGACAAGGCATCGGCAGATCTCCATCCAGCAGCGGATTGGCATAACACTACAAATTAGTACCATTATATTTTAAACGCATGTCAGCGTTTGCCCTGTTTATTGATATCAGGACGCCGCACTTGACTAAGACCGGCTAAACGGATTGCTCGCTTCAGCTCTAATGACGCAAACAAGCGAGAGAAAGTCAAAGCAGAAAAACATTTTGAAAGACTGCGAGTCCGTGTACGGAGCAGAAAAGTGTTTGGGGTTGGGCCCAGAGAGTGAGGAGGTGCGCGAGGTTGGGTAGTTGTACTCGTTAACCCTTTTCGAAACTCGGCGCACAAAAACATTCCACTTAAGCTGGCTTGCTACGCATCCTATCAACCATTTCCAGAAAGCGGGGATTAGTTTTAATCCGAGTGGAACGTCTAATTATCATCTGAAAGCTGCTTTCCCAGGCGGCTGGGAGCAAACATTAGACTCGGGTTGTGGCGGGGCACGGGATAGGAGGGGATGTAAAGGGGGGGGGGCGGTTGCACGGGTGCTTGGGGGGGTATGCGGTTAAGCCTCCGCAAAAGGCTTCAAGTGACCAATAGACGCACGGGTCTGCGCACCGAGCATCATTGAAAAATCATTGCCAGCGATCGGCACATTAACATAAGTAGACATAGCCGGAGCATCGCTCCTCAAACCGGCACCGCACCCACCCACACATATGGGCCCTTTACCTCCAACCCCCAACTTACGCCGCCACCACCATCAGCCGTCATCCCTCACCACTCAGCCCCTCCTCTCCACCACAACGCACAAAGACCCAGAGTGGGAGTTATATAAAAGGGGTGGAAGATCGCAAATCAATGGCCAACAGAGACTAAAGCACAGCGCTCTAAAACAATCTGCTCTCTTTAACATTTGTAAGCACTTTTGCTCGACCAAAAGCAGCGGCGTTTTTATATTTTTAAATACATAGAGTATTTAATCAGCTGCCGTTTACAATGGGGAAAATAAATGACGCCAGAGTTAATTGTGAGACAGCTGCTTTTGAATAATTGAAAAAGCTTTGTATATGAAGGCAGCCTGACATTAACAGCACCAACCTAAGTGGGCCATTGCATGTTCCATCGTTTATCGTAAACATTGCTAAAAATATTTTTTTATTAATATACAACTTAAATCCTGTCATTAACCTAACCTCATCTCACTCTACTCGGGGTGTATTGATTCGTTGATTGATTTGAATCGATTCTTACACTCGCAATGAAAGTATCAATTAGCATGTGTAAAAATCGATTACTGACAATACGTTCGAACTGTATGCAGATTATATGCAGATGTAGGCTCCTGGGGTGAATGGGACTGCACAAATGAGATCCGAAAAAAAAGCGGATGAAACAAGTGAGAGAGTACCAAGGAGAGTACAAAGGAGACAAATAAAAATCTACAATTCTTGAATACAATAGCAATGCCAAATCGTTACAATCTATAGCATCAACTGGGGCAAGGGCAGCAGTGAATCGTTAAATGCCTGATATTTATTTGACAGTACATTACACTCATTGTACTCCCACCCCTCGTCTTATTTTATACAGGTGACAGCAGTGTGACCCTGTTGTAAGATAATTCACCTTCCACCCCATGCCTCCCTCAACATAATTGTCCTTCATCCCCCCCCCACCATCCCACCGTGTCCTCCGTCTTGGGATATGACTGCATTAAGTCGCTCCTTACACCCCAGTTGTAATTGTGAACGTAAATCCACCTCCAGCAGCGCACATCTAGCAAGTAGCACGTGAACCCGTGACCTCAATTCAGCGTCTTTTATTTAATCTGGCAAGAGCCAATTTATCTTTTTTGCATGGGAGACCATGGAAAATGTTCTCCTGCAGGGGTGATTATTAAAATATTTACTCGTTGCTCTATTTGTTGATATCCCAGTTTGAGAGAGAACCTATTTACGCGACGCATCGCAATGGATTCTTATTTAGTATCAACTCTGTGGCAGGCGGCGCGATTTGGCAGCAGCGGCCACAAATAAATCCGCGGGTGACTGCGAGAGACGACGATGCATCAGCTCCGTGTGGAACGGCTCGGTGACAGGTTCACCGGCCACTGGGTTGCCAGCAGATCTTGCGGTCCCTCAACTCACGTGCTGCCAATTGCAGGTGTGTTTGCCAAACAGATGGCGGATCGCTTACAACAGGGACAACCAAGGCAGTGTCATATTTTCCACATCGCAAATGACCTTAGGGGGGGAACAGATGTATGGATACAACGTCCTCGCAGCGAACCCGTGGGTCAGACGACCAGAACCACCACAACAGGATCGTCCGTCATGAAGTGCCAACCACTTAAAGAAAACAGCCCCGGGGCACGCTGAATCTTTTGCAAACAGGTTTAACAAACCGCGCGGCTGCTTGGCAGCGCAAGCGGCGCGCAGAAATACCAGCGACTGGTTGGACAGAGATGCTGTGTTCACATGGATCAAGTCTGCCCTGCCCGAGTGAAGATGTAATTTTTATACAACGACCCCGACCCTTGGTGTAGCTTTTTGAAGCGATCACGAGGTGTGGAACGTACTCTCTCTCTCCCCAATCCAGACACAAACAATTTCCACGTCAATACAGATCACCCTCCCGACTGGCAAGGCGGCGCGCCGCTACCGCCAGCGCAACGAGAGCGAGCGAATGAATGAACGGTGAACGAGAGAGCGAGCTCTGTCTTTTAAGTATCAGTGCCCCGAGGGAACCATTTCCACGCAACAGCTCACGCAGTTTTGCTAACGCAGCGCGGAGCAGAGCGCGAGCAAGTGAGCGAGCGAGCAAGTGCCGGGCTGGGCATGTGAGTGCAGATGAGTGGGCAAGGTGCTGCGTGGTGTCAGGCTAGAGGCAGCAGAATGGGGAAGAGGGGGGGGGGTGCTGGCTGGGGAATTGGGGGAGGCGGGGAAGGGGAGCGCATGGGACAACGAACAGTGCACAACCGCGTGTGAATGCAGCGTGTGAGCGGGTGGGTGGTGTAGTATTGTCAATGATATTAAGAAGGGGTATACACACGGCAAATGGCAGGGTCTGCAGCCCACGTACCCCGATGATAGCGTTCAGCTCCGCCATCGTCACCTGCTTGGCCCGTTCCACGGCCTGAGCTACCTGCTGCTGGTGCTTTGGGGAGGTGGGTGGGGAGGTGGGGAGGTGGATAGGTGGGGGGGAGGTAGATGGGGAGTGGATGGGTGAGTGGTGTGCACATGGGCAGAGGAAAGAAACACATGGCACGGGCGGTGGAGAAAGACGACGACACGTGGATGCATTTAAAGTGTACATGAGAGCGAAGGGGCCAGGGAGTATAAGACCAGATGAGAGGTGAATGTTGGTAGGGGCAGGGGGCACAAGTGTGTGAAGGGAGGGGGATGAGGGGCAGTGCGAGCGAGTGTACGTGGGACAATGGAGAGGTACACACACACAAACACACGCAGCAGACACATTCTCGCATGTGAAGAGGAGGAATGTTTGGGGTGTGGGGGAGACACAACACAAAGGAGGTTTCGCATGAGAGGCAAGCAGCGAAGACGAGGGAGGGTGTGTAAGGGGGGGGGGAGAGTGTGGGTGGGTTGATTGGGTCATCACACAAGGGGAGGAGGAGGAGAGGGGGAAGGGGGCCGATAGGCAAAGACTGAATTAACAACACCGGGAAGGAGTAATTGAGGCATCTTCCAACAGTACGCTCCATATGCACACACTGCACACACGTACGGCACATACGCACAGATTATGACGCATTCATGTCAACACACATGCCGGTGTCCAAGTGAAAGGTGCATTATATATAGATGCATGGGGGTCAGTTTGCCCCCAAGGTGTATTTCCTTTGTCAGCTGGAAATCTTCTCATATTATATTTACATAGGCACACAACTATCGTGTATGTGAACAAACTTCTCGGGGAAAAAAAAACACATTTACGACGTTATAAACTGTACATATAAGAAGCAAACTAACAAAAAATATATAAACGAGAAAACTGGTTTCTATGCGTCGAGTTGCCTCGGGTTGGAGAGAAAACAAGGCCAAAATGTTTGCCTTCGAATTGCGTCCACATGTAAATCAATAATGTAAATGGGCTCGATGAGAAGAGAGAGGAAGCGGCCCTTGAAAAGATATTACATTCGTAAGTTCCCGGCTGTGGGGGGTTGGGATTAGAGCAAAATTTAATGCAGCTCTGCCGCTTTGTTCCGTCCCATTATACGCCGCTTTTGCTGACGCTAAGAAGGGTTCTGGCCCCGGGCACATTTTAACAGAAATAGCGAGAGTAGCTCTTGTGCTCAGAGAGTCTCGGATTAACTGTTACTGCAGAACACAAAAACCTGCAGCCTTTCAGGAGGCGGAATGTTTAGTAGTGCTGGGGGAGCACGGCAAAGGAAGGGAGTTGAGGATATGGGGGTAGAATAGAGGGGGGGTAGAATGGGGGGCAGGAGGGGAAGAGAATGAGAGTGAGGGTGGGTGTTAAGAGGCTAGGGATAAAACCTTAAATAAATAAATAAGTGGAACAAAAAAAGTGGCTAAAAAGGAAGAAAAAAGCCTAAGACCTCGAAGCACCCAGAGTAAACACGGCGCTTTGCTGGGGCACTTAATTGCCCACACCCTTTTCTCGTGACAGAGAATCGGCCAAATGAATCGTGCATTTTAATGGGCACCTGGAGGCCTGTGGGCAGGCATCAGTTCCCTTGTCTCCCTCTCTCTCCCCGCCCATTGGGGAAACCTGGGAGGTAGCAGCAGGCTGATGAGGGTGTGGGCACCAGGACAGAATGATTAAATCTTTAATCGCGAGCTCACTCACTCGGCGCCCCCCCCCCCACTCATCACAAACGTCTCTAAAACAAGCTTCCTTCTCTAGCATAGCATCCCCACACAACCAACCCCTGCTGCCTTCGGCCCCGACCGACTTCCCTCCTCTCTTAACTCGCCCGCTGCACGCCACCAACCCAGACTCAACCCTGACCCTCCAAGCGGCTGAATGAGAACACACAGATGAAAACCCTTGGCTGGGAAGGGAAAAAAAAAACCCAACACATTTTTTTCCACCTGAATTGGACATTGAGAATTCACAATGCGCACCACATTGGCCTCACGCTGCTAACGGTCACCCAAACGTTCATCAGGCCATCTGCACACAATGAAGCCGCTATGCACAAAAGAATCACTGGAGCAAAAGAGAGAGACCGAGAGAGAAAAGGAGGGGGAGAGAGAGAGAGAGAGAGACACGGAGAGAAGCGACAAACAGAGAGAGAGACAGACACTGAGAGGAACAGACAGAGAGAAGTGGTAAATAAAAAATGTATTAAAATATAAGCGCCAAGTTGGAGACAAATGACAGCAGACGAGTGCCTAAGCCGTCCCGCAATGGTGAGCACTTACTTCCTGCGACAGGAACGGGATGACTTGCGCGATGATGGCGTTGAGTCTCTTTGCGATCTCAGTCTGAAATGAAGATATAAACGCATTACATTAGCGTCGCCCACCCCCTTAAAATGCTTCGTCAGGGTAGCAGGACGTCCGTACACTCAAATGAGCAGAGAAGCCGCGCAGGAGCGATTTGTTATATACTTTGTGAGCGACAGGATAAAATGTTCTCACTGAATTAAATAAAAGACATTTTCACGAGTCAAGAAAGAGCCTATCAATTGGACTGAGGTTCAGTAGTTAATTGTAGAACATTAAATAACTCATAATGTTTTTCACCTGACTTGTAATTCCATTTCACCCAACCGCTACGCGACAATTTTTATGTCAGCTCCGCTCTAACTCTGCGAAGCGATAATAATACATTTATCTTCATCATCTTTTTCTCTCTCCAGTTTTACAGTTAATTCTCTGCTTTTAGATTACCCCGTGCATATCACGTTGAAACATTTCATCATACAGATCCGAATTTGAACAAAAATACCCCAACAACTGAACTGCTTCCACAGCAAAAAAATTATCAATACAAATCCTGTGGCACCAGAGTATGTATTTACGTGTGTACATTCAGCGTAAATAAAAACACAAACGTACAATAGAGAATGCTCGCCATTGCCTACCTTACTGTTTATAAAGTACAAACTGTTCATATGCCAATTCAAGACAAATGGCTTGTCAGCATTCTTAAAATGTGTACGTATTCTCAGGCTCCCACAGTGTAAAGTGCCATCTCCAACCCTGAAGTCAATACTTCTCTCTCTCTGCTCCGAAGGAACATTACATGAAACAACAGCCTTGAATATATTTGTCCGTTACGAGAGAGTGCTCAAGACAAACTTGGTGAGTATGGATTATGTCGTCACGTGCTTGCAAACCACCGCCAGTGCATTTCTATAATTCCTTGCATAAGGAGGTACATTTTCTTGCAATTATAGTATTATTATGTTCGTTTACCCAGAAAAGGCCACTACCTGAGTTGTAAGACTCTTTTTATAAGGGTCTAAGCAAGTTTTTTTTTTGCAGAAGGGAGTGATGCCGTGATGTGTAATCCCAATATGTAGCAATTTTTTTTTCCACTGGGAAGTTTGGCGAGTTACATTGGTTTTTTTATAACTACAGGACAAAATCGGAGAAAACCAGGGGGAGAACATACACACTCCATGCAGAAAGGCACCTGACTCAGCAATAAAACCAAGTCCCTTCTTGCTGTGAGGCACAAGTGTTACCACTGCACCACCTAGGCTCCCTCATTAACTTCAGAACAGGGTCAAAAAAACCAATGTATACACATAGGCATTGGGCACTGGGAAATGTATTAGGGAGGTAGGCTGGGAATTGTCTGCCGAGGCAGTGTATACTCTATTTAGGCCATGCAGGAGGTATCTGTGTGTCTGCCTGGGTGCCTCAGCAGGGCTCTTATAAAGCCCTGCACGCGTGGAGGTGAGAAGATTTCAGGCTGCACTGCTCCCCGCTGATGAGACAGGGCGCGGCGGTGCAAAGGTCAGAGCATGAAAGGGATTAATTTAGCAAAAGCCAACTTCCATCTCAGAGCCAACCCCCACCGCCACCACCAGCCCAGTTAGCCCCCACTGCGCCCCCCCCACCGCCTCTCACCTCTCAACCCCGCCGGCCGTATCAGCGGCTTGGAAAATGAATTAAAAATTCGGCGCTCGCAAGGCCACGCGGGTCAAGCGTAATAATCTGCTGCTGAGTCCGGAGGAGTGGAGGGAGGACGTGTGGTGTGGGTAGAGGTGGGGAGAAGGAACGGAGTGCGGGAAGACAGCAGGGGAGGGGGGGGGGCCGAGGGGGGCTCGTAGGACAGGGGGGTGGGGTGGGAGGCAGCAGAAGTGGTGGCAGGGGGAGACATTCTGATTAGTCTGCCATTTCTCTTGTCAGCCTCAGTGGCGGCCAGCACTGCAGCCCACTCCACTGCTCCGCTTTATTAGCAAACGACAGAAGCCCGTGGCGGACGGGTGCACGAGGGAAAGAGGGAGGGAGGCAGGGAGGGGAGTAGCAGGCCAACAGGAAGGCTGACGGCTCACTAGCCCCCCTAATTGAGTCTACTTTGAAATAATGATTGTCCCCGGCGCAGAGCCACAGAGCCGCGGGTAATTAACATCCCTCTTTTTCGTGCATTTTGCGCAAATTGGCGATCAGAGCCTCTGCTGCAATTATCCATCCCGTTCCCCCCATAACCCCCCTCACCGACAACCCTCTTCCCACCTCACCTCCCATTCCAAATGAAGAAGAAAAAAAATAGAAAATGGGATGATGGAACGGGAGAGAATGGTTTGCACGGCTGAGTGAGCACATAAGTAGGTTCACTCATTGTAATGTGTATTCACTGCACAGCAACCGCATTCAATGCAGCGTTGAGTATTAACTGTGTGTATTTATAGAAGACCAAAGTAAAAATAATTAAAACGCATTCGCGAAAAGAAATAAAATATAATCAACCCCCCAGAGCTGACAAGGCCCTCAACGTAATTATTTTACAATGACCAAGTGAACAACACAACCGTATCGTCGAAACCTTTTTATAATATCTCTAGATATTTCATAGTCTTGTGAAAATATGCATTGGGATGCCAAATCTGGATACAGCCACAAACAATGTTTTGTAAACAATAACACCCGTGTGGGGGCACAATGACCTCACGCTCACTCGCACCTTCACCTCCTTTTTTCCTTTTGCGCCAAGCTCGCGCATTGCTCCAAAAATACTGCACTAAAAAAACACTGGCCCAATACCTCACGAGGGAACGTCCCGCCTGTCTGACAGAGTGTCAGAGACAGAGTGAGGGTTTCCTGGATAAAGCCTGCCAATTAATTATTGTTCAGTTATCACGCGGAAGCCTGGTAGGCACCAAGTCGACCCTCTCCGATGTGCTTTCGGGTTGTACTGCGCAATATTGAACATGATTTTCCGACATTCAATTTTGCTGAAACGTCGGACATCGTGCTGAACGTCACGTCGAACAACACGCGGTTCAATCCCAAAAACCACATCGGACAGGTTGGCCGAGTTATACGGAACAACCGCGAAAACCTACGCGGTACAAAGCCGACATCAATCGGAAACCGAAAACAGAACTGCCCTGAACTCAGCTGCTACGATCACGATGGGATAACACAGTCCGTGTGTCTGGCGTTTCCTTACATTCATGGGTATAATGACATTTGTTGTTACGATATATTTTTTTCCAATACAGGAGCACCTCCCGTCATCCCCGTTGTTGTAATGTGGTTGCTATGTGTATACATGAAGAGCTGTGTGTATGTTTACAAGCTATTTTTACATTGTGCACGAGCACACACACGACCACCCACTCAAGCACGGTTGCACATATATCTCATTTGTTCCTGGCGAAAAAGTGGGGAGGATTGGGTGGATCCAATTTAATTTTGGATAAAAACTAATTCCCGTTCATACACATAATAGAACGCTGAGCAAATCTGGCAGAAAGCAGGGTGAAAGTCAGTATCTCAGAATTACATTTCTGTATCAAGGCATGGTGGGGAATATTTACTTTTTTCTAAATTGGAATTGTATGAAATTAAACGAGACAGGAATCAATATGAGTTTCAAATACATAAACACTGATATCCTATTGCATCATGCAAACTTCAGGAGTAATTTCCGAGGGCTGGCAACAAATCAAAATAGTATAGTTTATGAGAAAAGTCAGATTTTGGAACCTCAATTGTTACCAAGTGGCAACACGTACGTCTATCTCTACTTAAAATCAGCTGACAGGATGCACTAGTTTGAATAATTATATTTTTTCATTATTTAAACGAGGATCGTTAGGTGACCTTGGCTTGGAGAGGTCTTCATCCAACATCATTATCATGGCTCATGATAATGATGAGGGTGTGGGGGGGGGGGGAGCACAAAATAGTATATGTACACATTAACAGAATACAGTAAATCATAAACTATAGCACCATTACCATTTCCCGTTGTGTGTTGGATGTGGGAGCTGTTTGACTACACTTCAGACTGCTCAGTGCGAGTCAGTGAAGGAGAGTCCCCGTGAATGGTTTTCCTGTCACTCGTCACCAAGTCTCGCCATTGCTGGGAATTGAACTCAACTCGTGAGGCTCATGGCCCAGTACCCTATCCACCGTATCAATGCTTCACCCCATTAACAGTATTGTTATCATCATCCTCAACAGCCAATCCACGGCAGGATATAGACGCCATAATCCATCTCACCACTGTACGTGAGCTAATGACATCACTCCATCTCTCCGATGGTTGTGCTCTCGGTCGAGTTTCCTTTTGGCAGCCATTTCCTCACCAATCTCGCCCATCGGCCATCATCGCTTCAAGCAATGAGTCCTGCCCAAGCCTACTTATTTTTCTCAACAGTCAATACATTGTCTCTAATTTGCATTTCTTCCCTGACCCGCACGTTCCTCTTTCGGTCTCTCAGTATACCAGTAATGCCATTATACAATATACACGTAGATTTTTATACCGTATGCCCATAAAACGAAAACATCCATATATATACACACTTGCAAACATCACACAGTACAGTACTGCAATTCGTATCGCTTGACGAGAGGCTCTCGCAATAAGCGATTGATCAAATTTCAAGTCGGGTCGTTGCAAATGAGCGTCACATGCAGTATCTCATTCCGCTGACCCACAAAGCACAACAAGCGTGTCAGGATTCAATCATCTCCAACTACGTGTCCTGTCAGCACAGTGCGCCTTAGCCACACGCAGCCCAGACAACATTCTTTAACTTTACTTTGGTATTGAAACAACAGCGTGATTTGTTTTCTATGGCACATTAAAAAAATCCCCGAGGCTTAAAAACGTATGCTGGTTTATTTTTGTTTTGCGATTTAAAAGATGGCTCTGCTTGTATAAACTTAATTCGGGATTTTTATTTTATTTCTGAGATTGTTTTAGTGTTTTTCTTTTATATCTCTCAAGAACAAACTGAGGGCAAAGATTACAAGGATAAAAAGAATCACTAAAATGGATAGAGGTTGTTTTTAAA